CCGGGCGGTCTCCCCAGGACGCAGGGCGCGCGGGCGCCTCGCTTCCCCCGTCCCCTCCTCCCCGGTCCCCCGTGCCCCCTCCCCCGCCCCGATCCGGCGGCGAAGGGGTGGGCAGGGAAACGCGCTCTCTGGGACAGGTGCCAACTCCGAGACAAAAGACATAAAATAGGCGGCAACGGGGGAAGCGCGGCCAGCGCGCTCGGGCGGGGACCGCGGCGCCGCGGGGGCCGCATCCACGGTGCGGGCCGGGGAAAGTTTGGGAAGTCGGTGCGGCCGCTCTGCAGCGGCGGGGGACGCGCGGCCCAGGCCGCCCTCCGTGCCGCGCTCGTCCTCTCCGCGCCGCTGCTGAATAATTCATAGCGCGCCCGCCGGCCATTAGCATGCACCGGGCGCGCGGTGCGTCTGTGCCAAGCCGCCGCTGCATTCGGAGCCGGGGCAGCGCCAGACCAGTGGCCCGCACTGTCCCGATGCCCTCCGGCCTGCCCCCGTGGCCCGCACAGTGGCCTCGCGCGCACCCTGGGCCGCTGGGTCCCGAGCCCGCCCGACGGCCAGGCTCTCTCTGAGCGTCCGGGCCCGCTGCGCCCGCCTGGCCGCTCCGGGATGCACGTGAACTTGGAGAAAGTCACGGGGCACGCCGGCCGGGTCCTCCGCGGCAGGGCGTGGGCGCACGCGGGCCGGCACGCTTTCGCTTGCGTCCCGGACAAAGGTCTCCAGTGGCGCCAGTCGTGGACTCGTGACTCGGTCCCGCTGGCCACTGTTTTGTGTGGTGGGTCGTTGGATGCAGGACTGCAGAAGCCGAGGGATTAGGAGCGGTGGGTCCGGGGCACGGGGCCTCGCCGTGCGCTCGCCGGCGGCCGTTCCACCCTGCGAAGAGTTGCGGGAGCTGCTCCGCGCTGCCTTCGGCTGTTCCTGAGCGACCAGGAGCCCGACGCAAGTCACCCCGGACTCCAGCCAGCGGCCGCGGGCACGCCAGCGCAGCGCTAGCCGCGGCCAAGAGGTGATCTGGCAGGGCGGTGGACCTGTGCCACGGGCATGATCAAGGTTGGAGAGGTAAGAGCCTTTTTCACTTTAGCTTCTTGGCATTTAAATATTTAATGGACAGATTTCTAAGAGGGGTCCTTATGCAAGGACTGCCTTTCACAGCCAGGGACGTATCCGAGGTAGGTTGCTCTTGAACCCGAAGCCAGCCAGCTTGCAAAGAACGCCAAGATGTCCTCTATCCAGAACTTGGGATTTGTGAAACACAACTCCTGATCTCAGGTGTTGGGGGTCGCTAGCCACGTAGAAATTTTATCAAGCATATAAAATATTGTAGCAGGCATCTTAAACAACAGAAAAGAGAAAATATCTGTTGGGGGGTGTTTGGAAATGTTATTTGGAAGCTAAAGTCCATTATTAAAAATTTGTACTGTTTTATTACTAAACCCTTACTACTTTAAAAATATTATTTAATGCTGGATGGACATTTTCAGAGAGCTGGCTTAAGTGTAGCAGCCAAGATCCAGGGTGCAGTGGAAGGTCCTAGTGTGTGAAGTTCTTGCTTATGGGGCAGCTAAATAAAGCAAAACAGAACAGAGCAAACAAAAAAAAAAAACCCAGTTCATAACCTCTTGTAATAAGTGGATGTATAGGTGGCTTACACAGCCCAGCTAGCAGGCCTGAGGAGGTTTTTGGGAATCACAAAAGGGGGTGAAAGAATTTGCCTTTGACATAATTACAGGGTTTTTCGGTAACATTGAAATTACTTTCTTCAAAGTTGGATTTCAAAAGCCTAGGTGGTCTCTCTCCAAGGCCAGCAGGAGCTTCATTTTATTGGAGCACGTAGGTTCTGGCTATCTGGGAAATAAAACTGTGTCTCTGTACGCGTGTACCTAGCCAGGGTTAGCACTAAACTACCGCCGTGGGGATTAAGCCTGCTTTCCTATAGTTGTGCCGCAGGTGTGAATATACCGATCCTTTCTCCACGTTTTAGATGTGGTTTGGATAGCCTTGTTGGGGCCCTTCACCTCAAATCACTCACAGTGGGGGGCACCTATCTCCATAGCACCCCAGAGCCATGAGCTGGCGCTTGAGGCCCTGTTTCCAGGAATGTGGATGAGGCCAGAGGAGTCCAGGCCTGCTTTATGCCTACCTTCCTGGGCTACCTGCTGTGGTTGATCCAGGGTAAGAGCCTCTAAGAGTAGAGAGTCCCTTTTAGCAGAGTCTGAACCAAACACTAATCTTGATCATCTTTCATTTATTTTATTTTATTTTTTATTTTTTTACTAGTCTGCTTTACGCTGCTCACCACCCCTGTTTTGAGTTTTTGTTTATCAATCAGAGGCATTTAGCAAACAGAAAACCCTGGGTGAGCCATTTGGGAACCATCTCAGCTGTTGTAGAAGTGTGTCTGTGGAAGGTATGCCGCCCAGAGCTGCTTGGCTTAGCGCTGGCCACGATGAGGTCCTTAGCAGAAGCTCACTCTCCTTGCTGAAAAAAATGCGGGCAGTGTTTTTCCTTGTCCACAGAAGATCTATGGCACAGGGTTGGAAGGGTGGAGACTGTGTGGTGGTTACTTGAGGGTCTTCGTCATGCTTGGGACTACAGCAGACCCCCAAACAAGTGTATATCCTACTACTCCCCAGGCCATCGTGTGGAACCCAAGGCGAGCAAGAAAGACCAGAGCATCAGCGGAGGTGGTTCCAGGGCGGTGAACCAAGGGCACTATTTTGACAAGCATCAGGGTCCTGTGTATTGCCAGAGCATACCCTGGTCCCTGGGAAATAACAGGATTAAGCGTGTTTGTTTCCAGGGAGGCTGTCCAGGACATCTTCCCATGCTCAAAAGGCTTGTTTTGGCAACATTTATTTTTGGGGGGTGGGTGGGATACATATACACAAAAGAGGAGACACATACTTGTCTATTTTGCCCCCTGTTGGATTTAATATAAGGAGCAGGTAAGTGGGCTCTGGCGAATGGACGGCTGTGTGGACTCCCTAGGGGCATGAGGCTCTGTTTTTGCTATTAAATTAGGGCCGAGCCCAGGGTGGCCACAGTAGGGCCTCACCATTCCTCACGATGTCCTAGGCACAAGTGATGTGTGGTAACAAGGCCCACCAAACCTTCTTCAACGGCAGCATGCTCCAGGCTTTGTAGCAGTGGGGCTAGCCTCTGGCTGGCGACCTCTGTGTAAACCTGTCTTTCTGCTTCTCTCCAGTCCCCAGCAGGACACATAGCCTGCCCTGCCTCATCATATACAAGGTCCTATTGGAAGGCAGGAGGAGAGGGCTGTGGAGGGCTTTGCCCATCCGTGAGGGGCACCCTGCCGGGTGGATACTCCTTTTTGTCCAGGAGAACCTCCATGGGCCTTGAAAGAGGAGCATTGCTCGGGGAAAGGCCAGGCCTTCTAAGGGCCAGGCGGGCGACATCTTACAGCTTCCAGGCTTCGTTTTTATTTGCCTCGGTTGGATTTTCAGGGTTGTATTTGCATGTGTGGAGTGAAGGGAGAATTCTGACACGGAACTCAGGAGGCTGGGATGCCCAAGCTCACGTTAGGGCGTGGAGTTGGAGTATTCCGGGCTCTAATTTGTCCTTGTCTGCTACTCACTGTGTGACCCAGGCAAGTCCTGTTGCCTCCCCAGGCCTGTACCCTGAGCATTCCAAAGAGGAATAGAGATGCCAATCTCGGAGGGTGAGGACAACATTGTTGTTATTATTTTCATAAGCGATTATTGCTGGCATGTTGTCAGGGAGCATCCAGTGGCTGTTCTATAGTCATTATTGTAAATGAAATCACTATAGTTATTTATATATTTATCATTTAATACCTTGTGCACTGAATGATAGGTTATATTCAGGTAACAGATCCCACCTCTGGTTTATTCAGAAAGGACACCAAGAAGTTGACACCCCAGCACCTTAGGGTTGGCTGGCGGGAACTCGCAAAGCCAGAGCTTTCCACGTCCCAGGGGATTTTGTGTGAATGTGACGACTACATGCATTGTGGATTTTGTATTAGGTATGGGAGATGAGACAGAGGTTCCCTTGGGGACTCAAAATGTGCTACCCCTTCACAAGGCAAAATGAGGTCTTCCCGGAAAATGACTTCAGGGTGCTGGTCCGGCTCTGAACTTTGTTCCCGATGGTGGTCCAGAATGGCCATGGCAACTTCCAGCATCCTTGCTAGAGATGCGTATAGGGATTTGATAGGAGAGTTTTGCCACTCTGACAAGTGACAGGTACATTTACCACATAGCTGGTTTGGGAGAAATTTTCTCCTGGCTCTTTGTTCCGAAAGACACAGCAAGATTACTTTTTTTTTTTTTTCCTCTCAAAGCACCTTGTTGGAAGGAAAAGAAACCTTAAGGGCACTAGCCAGACTTTCTGATGTTACAGGGATGATACATGAGAAAAAGCAACAATTGTCTCCAAACAGAGACAATGGATCTTTTATATGGGCTATTTATTTTGAGGGCTGACCAATGTTTCACTGGCTGGGCAGTCATTAGAGTTCAAGCATTCGAGTATTGTGGGCCCTGGCCCCATAGTTAAGGGCAGAGGTTTACAGGGGGGAAAATGAAAGTCCCCTGAGCTGTGGTTCTGGGGAAGTCCCAACGCGTGTGCCCAGCTTTCTTTGTGGGGTGCAGTTTAAACTTTGACTCATTCAGTTTTCTCCTCCTGTGATTTATTTTCAAAGGCCACAGGGGGTTCGTCTGCAGTCCTTGGAAAGGTGGCCAGGTTTTGGATGATGGGCCTGCTGAGGTTTCCCTTAGGCCAAGTCTGGTCAGCCTAGCTGGGCTTCAGAATGGAAGTGAATAAAATGGACTCGAAGAGGCAGAATCACTTCCCGGGGGCTTCATCAGACAGTGTGGGCCCATATTTGTGGTTTTCCAATGTCATCTCCTCCTCCTCCTCCTCCTCCTCACATCCTGTTCTCAGATGAACTTGGGAGTGGCCTGTAGGTTGTGGGAGTCTTAACTGGAGTGGAGAAGCCCACACTGGCCCTCCTTTATAATCTCGACTATCGAAAGTATTTTGTGACTCGTGATAAACAAACCCAGTGTGTGGAACCGTGAAGACTGTCTTCTGAATTGTAGCCCCCGAGGCCTCTGCACCAAGGAGAGTCTTCCTAGCCTACCCTCCAAGGACTGATCTGGCCCAAGCTGTGCCTGGGGGTGGTCCACCTCAAAAGAGAGGCCAGTAGCTGAGGCTCACCTTGGGGATTCAGAGTGGCCTTGCTGTGGCTAGGGATTATATAGAGACTGCTAGAGAGGGCCAGCAGTATGCAGTTTTGAGGATTCCAAGGGGGACCCTTAGTCAGAGGACACCTGTTACTTTAAGTGACCCTTAGTCAAGACACTTCTGCCAGGGCCAGTGCAGGAAGACAGACAAGGAACAGGCCCTGGCAGGGAACACCTACTTATTACTCAAAATAATTTTTTTTTTTGGTAAATGATAATATTTGTCTTCTGAGTAAGGTTTTATTTTTAAAAATTGATTTTGTTGGTTTTGTTGACTTTGAATGGTAGAAGTTCACAGCACCCCACTTTTTATATTAGTCTGTGCCTCCAAATGCCAAGCCAAGAGACTTTTAGGGAAGTCCAGACGTCCTTTAAGGCTGAAATGATGGGAAAGAATGAAATCTTGTGTTCTGGGCAGAAAAAAAACAACAACAACAAAACAAAACAAAGAACCCCTCTAAAAACACGGGTTCTATTCACTTGTTGGAGGACGCAGGCACAAAATGCAGTGTAGTCTTGCCACTGGATTCTGGCATCTTCTAGTTGGGAGTCTGGAAATCTCCTTACGATGCAGATGTGTGTGCACAGGTGTCTGGAATTGACTGTCCAGACAGCGGTGGGGAGGGGTTGTGAGCTGTGATGTCCATCAGGCTTGAGTAGGGTTGAGGGTTAGGACTTGTCACTGTGGTGGTAAAATGTACACACGAAGCAGATAGCCTCATGGGATATATTTTGAGGCTGGGTAAATTTCCCCTTCAGATTAAAGAGGAATGCTGTCTAGGTGCTCTGGCTGTCTGATACTGGGCTGACTTTTTCTGTGAACCGCTCTTCTTTACTACTGGGATTTCTGGCCAGAGTAGTACTCAGCAGAAATATCTTAAATTTAGAATTTCCTTTGATATATTTAAGAAAGGTATTTACATCCAAATCAGGCTTTTATAATTACATCTTAAATTATTATAAACCATACCAGCCCTGCAACCTCCTTTCCCATACCTTTGGACAATAAGAAAAACCGTGGCCAATCCTACCCTGGATTTCACAGCATTCGGACTTAACAGGACTGTTCTGACCTGGAGGGACTCATGAGCATGTCACAGTCCATGCATGCCAACTGCTGAGCCTTCCCACCGGGAGAAATGCATGTGGCTGGGGCCTATGGCATGCGGTCGCATCCGATAAGGACCCACTGACCTCCATGGTGCTCTAGTGTCTCAATGCCTCAATGACCTGCTGTAGCTATGGTGAGGCTTCTGTCTCCCGGATGGCGAGCTGAGCACAGCAGTAGTCATTTTCTGATTGTGGTGACACCGGGTGTCTGGGGAGGGGGGTACCGCCTCTTATGGCCATGTGATCCAGGTTCTCCTGCCTCTTTTCCCTTGTCTCAGCAGGACCCCCAAATAGCTGCCGGTTAGGGCTTCAGTGGCTTCTCTGCATTGTAGACTGGCAGAACAGGTCCCATTTCACACGGCGTAGGGACCCTTCTCCTCCCAGGGCCAGGCTCTTGGCAGCCATGCCAAGCCATTGCTGGCATGGATTCCCGGCGTTCTTGGTCGAGCGCATGGCATCGGAATGCTACCTGCTTTGTCTCTGGCGTCAGCTGGCAAGCAGTCACGTGGCCGTATGCGTGAGGCCAGAGCTAGAGACCAGAGACTCCTTCCCGGCAGCTTCCTCCTAGCTCACGCTGCCTGTCCTGTCTCCTTGGCCTTCAGCATGATGACTGTCTGAGCAGCCAGAAAGCAGTACAAAACAAGCAGGCAGCCCAGGGAAGGCCAGATCTACACGGTCTGCCTGACCACCCGTTACCTGAATCATCATGGACAGAAAGGCCCTTAACATGTCCCACGTGGTGAGGAGTTTGGCCCATGGGCAGTGGTCCCTTTACCATCCTCAGTGGCCGAGCTGGCTCTGAGGTACCTAGGTGTCTGAGGAAGGGTGCCAGATCCCGCTCGTGAGCCCTTTCCATACTCCAGACTTAACTGCATTTCTATGTGAGTACCTCTGATGTCATATAAAGGACCCAGAGTGACCGGGGCTGAGAGAATTGGCCGAGCAGATCTAGCCGGGGCAGACACCTGTAGCAGAGGGTGGCGGGATCTGATAAATTTCAACAAAGTCCGCCCCTATCAGGCCCTTACCCCTTCGGGCTGTTTCAGAGGGCTGCATCATAGGATTGTGTCCCCAAGGCAGTGACAAGGAATGGCTTTAGTTCCACTGAGGGATCTGAGAGGACACCCTGGCACCACCCTGGCACCCCTTCTCCTCGTTCTTGGCTGCTTGGTCCCTCTGGGATCCTCCTGGCTCTCCCAGGCATTGGGTACTGAGCACAGTGCTCAGCACGAGGTATGCTTTATGCATCCCATCAGCTAGGAGACATAACGCTCCCTTGTTAACGTGGGTGAGAAAACGGAGCCTGGGAACAGTTTTGTGGACGCTTAGCTAAATTCAGACCCACAGTCCAGACTCCTGGCTGCGGCAGCTCTAGCCTCCATGATTAGGATGGGTCACTCGAAGAACCCTGGTCAGGGGGTAGCTGGAATGGGAGCCCTGGCTCCCCCAAAGGAGAACAGCCGAGTGCCGCCCACCTCCTGCTGCTCCGTAGAACCCAGCATAGGAACAATGCGGCCTCTATCTGGAGCAGTTCGGGCAGCCTGGACTCCAGGCCCCTCCGAACGGCTTGGCTTGCCAGGCAGTCGCAACATGGCGCCAGGGCCACCCTGCCCATCTACAGGGCTGGCTGTCGCCTGGGCAGGGGCTGGGCTGGTGTTCCAGGCGTCCTCAGGCTAGCTGCTGAGTGGTCAGGCACTGTGGTATCCTCCCTCCTCTTTCTGTCGTCCAGCCCCCGCCTTTTTTTTTTTTTTTTGGTGGTGGGTTTGGGGGCCCGGCCCACCCGCCTCTGCCACGTCTGCCATCCTCCAGGCACCCACGAGCATCTTTCGAAAATTCCCGGTGGGCGGGGCCGAGCTGTAGCGGCCGCCTCTGCCCCCCCCTCCCTAGGAGCCAGTGCCAGATGAGAGAGATCAGGAGACAAAAGTAGCATTTTCCTCGTCCTCCTAGGCTGGCAGCAGGGCCTTCCCCCAGCGCCACTTGCTCCTGGCAGTCCTAACCCCGGGTGCCAGAGTAGCCAAGGCCCAGGCCAGGACCTACAGACTGATGGATGCCAGAGCCCAGGAGGCCCAAGGGCCTGTCCGGCAGAGACTGGCACCTGGGGACAGCCTTTTGGCTGGTGGGAGCCCTCTTACCCAGCCAGGGCAGGGGGACATCGTTTTCACTTCCTGGCTTTTGAGAAAGTGACCCTGTCCTTCAGTTCCTTGGTAAGTGACCTTCTCCCCTTCTCCTGCTGGGGACGAGCAGAGGGCCCTGCCATCTTGTGCTCCGTGCCTGATACGTCTCCTTCCCTCTAATTGGCTTAACCCAAACCCCAAATTCTATTTCAGAGCCCCCCTTTTCTCTTAGTCTTGAGTGAAGCGGGTGCTGCCAAAAAAACTGCAGGGAAGAGACAGAAACCAAGCCATTTATTTTTCAGATCCAAAGCGATGGCTTTCAAAATGATAATGAAAACACACGTTCGTTCGGTATTTCTCAGTGGCAGCGTGTTCGGTTAGGAGCGGAATGAGGGCTGGAGGAGGCATCAGTCGGCACAGCCACCCTTCCTTCCCTTCCTGTGTCGCTTTGTTGTTGAAGGGGGTCTTATTATTTCATCACCATTTTTTTTTTTTTAACTTTGGCAGTACCAGGAATAGCAGAGGGGAAAAATCCAGAACCATCGTAGGGTCCTCCAGCAAAGGGCGAAGGCAGGGCTGGCCGCACGCAGGAGGGAGGACTTTCGTGTCCAGGAACAGAGGTTCTTTTATTCTGTCCCGCATCCCTGATGCCACCATTTCCACAGTTTAGGGATTTAGTTCTTTCTGCCTTTCGTTTCGTTTTATTTATTTATTTATTTAAAAAAGAAGAAAGCTTTTCTTGGCTGACAGCTCAGTGTGGGGAAAAGCTGGGGTCTTGCACTCTGCTTTTTAAGCACTTGTTTTTAAGGGTTTTTTTTTTCTTTTCTTTTCTTTTTTTTTTTTAAATTTTGAGGAGATAATCTGCATCACCGTAAAGTGCCCAGCTTGTAACCACCTTGCCAGGCTGGTCGAGAAGTGCCCATGGGCACCAGTCACCAGGCAGACCTTTGAAGAGAACGCCAAGTGGTTCCCAGGCCTGTCTAGACCCTGTCCCATACTGGTTCCTCACCAGCATAGTTGTGCCAGGCCACACAGAGCCTAAACTGTGGCCAATGGGAGCCCCTGAAGACGTTTGTGTAACCCGCCATGCCAGTGCTGCCCGTGAGCTGAGTTAGTGGCTGTCTGAGTTTAGTCCCAGGCCCCATCCTTTATAAAAAGGTGACATGTGCAGAGCTCAGCTGCCTGCTCACCTCCAGCCCCCTGGCATGCTGACAAGAGCGCCCCCGACCACAGCCCGGTTCTCTGTGTGTGAGGGTAGCTGGGGTCTTGATTTATGGGAACTGGAAAATCCTACGCAGAAAGTTCCACTGCACAGGAAGAGGAAAATTCCCAAGTACAGACATCTTTGTTCCCCTAGTGCAGAGGCACATGGACTCTACGTGTCCAGGGGCTCGGCTGCAGCCGCCACCCGGAGCACACTCCACCAAATATGAAAACGGAGCCCAGCCCGGCTGCTTTTGTTCTTAACGCTAGGCAGCAGTCGATACCGAAGGGTTTGGGGCTGCGGAGACAGGCATGTATAGCTGAGATAATTAAAACATTTTCACGATTATGACAGCCACATTCTGCTGCTGCAAGCTGGAGGATTCATTCCACCCAAATATTTAGCAAGCATCGGATAAAACACTAGTGGCAAAATAAAAGTAATATGGGGGAAAACAGTGTAATATATTTCAAAGGCAAAAGCATGGCAAAGAGGGGATTAAGCAAGGGAGAAAAGGGAGATGAGCGGCTTGAAAGAGTCTGCATTTTAATAGCTGCCCGCCCCTCACCCGTTGTCTTTAATAGTTAATGTAGGTGACTATAGCTCCAATTTTAAGTTCTGGATGGATGTGTGGTAGCATTTTTTTTTTTTAGTGTTAATTCACCTTTTTGGACAAGATGAGGGAAAGTAGCAGGAAAATAACTCACATAAATATCTTCGCCGTTAAATTAGTACCTTCTACTCTGAGTAAATTTACCCACTACTCTTAGTGTATGTCTGTCACACTGTCCTTATGTGCCTGGGAAAATGATGAGTATCCACTTGCCACCTTAAGTTTTAAATTTCACTAGAATCAGACCTCCTCTCCTGTCCCCCAAAAGAGTAAAATGTCATACTCTGTTTTAAAAAAAAATGGGCACAAAAACCTCAGCTCTTTCCATGGTACCCATTGCTTTTTGACAGTATTTAAAAAAAAAAATAGAAAGTACCACGCAAAGCGCTTTCCACATCATTGCTTCTACATAAATTCCACTATAGACAGAAATTATACATTCTCGAGGCACAGATGGGCTGGTCTGTCATTACCACTGCCTGGTACTTGTTGGAACACACGGCATATTTTAATTGTGGAGTCAACAATTTCGAAGAACTGAGGTCAAAATAAACAAGCTGCGTTTGTGTCGAGAGGCAAACTTGTTCCATGATCTTCTGGAAGGGCTGACGGAGGGCCACTGCTTTGTTAAATTTTTGCTCTCTGTATACACATGTATGTGTGCCGTGTGTGTGCGTGTGCGTGTGCGTGTGTGTAGGCATTTGCACACCATGGCACACGTGGAGGTCAGAACACAACTCGGTTCTCTCCCTCCACCGTGTGGCTTCCAAGAATTGAATTCAGATTGTCAGGCTTGGCCAGCAACACCATTACCTACAGAGTCAGCTCTCCATTTCTGTCCCCATCTTTTAAGATTCCAAATGCCCTGTGTCAAAGGTCCTTCCATGTTTTAATTAATTAACCAATTTTTAATCTCATTTGCTACATGAACACTGTAGCACCTACCCTTAAATTCCAACTTGTGGGGCATGGAATTATTGATATATCTTATTAACTATAAGGAGGTTCAGCCTCTGGCTATTCTGGGTCACCATGCATGTAATTATTTTGATACCTGCATGGAAAAAAAAAAACCCCAAATAATAAATATTTCAAATGGTCGAAAAGTACATTTAAGTCCAAACTTGAAAAAAAAAATTCAATGGGTCAATTGCATAAAGTAGGTATAAATTAAAAAAAAAAAAAAGTCTCAGCAAGCTAAGGAAATGCAGAATGTATTGGGCTGTATCACCACACTAGAGGCCAGAGCACCTTTACAGCCACAGTCATTTGCAGACGATGATAACTGCTTATTTTGGGAATTGTGTACATGTGATGATGTAATCAGCTCCAAGCTGCACTTCGCCCCTTTCCCGTGTGTTAAGCACTGACCTCTGTCCTTCTGGAGTCGGATGTGGTGTTCCCTGCCTGCAGAGAGCATCTGAGGCTCCTGCATTGGGAGAGGGGAAAGGAAGGGCCTAGCTGCACGTGTGCGCGTGCATACACACACACACACACACACACACACACACACACATCCCCATCCCCGGGAGCTCCAGCCCCCGCATCCATTTGTTAATAGAAGTACTTTGTTGTGGCTTGTTTATTTGAAGGCTTGTACCTGTTGGTGGAGATGTCAGAGAACAGTGGAAATGGAACGCTGGTGAAATCCTCCCCAGCTGGCTAGGAGTGGTGAGTCCTGAGGGTCTAACCTCTTCATGCTTTTCCCGTGGGTCTGTCCGTCTGTCAGCGGCTGCCTTGGAGTCAGGGGAACGTGTGTCCCTGGACTGGGCACTGTGAGGGCGAAGAAAGCGAGAGGGTGGCAACAGTGTTGTGTCAATCACGGGCATGGCTTCAGGACTGTCTGGACCAGGGGTACAGTGGCTTTTCACTTTGGGAAGAGCACATACTCGGGGAGGGAGACAAGTTGGGCTGGCTTTGCATTCTGACTATAAGTCATTTTACTTTCCGAGCCTCTATTTCCTTGTCTATATAATGGGAACAGGAAGCAGAGGCCTAGCCAGCACCAGAAATCTTAGTTAATGGAGCATGCCCTGAACCAGTACTTTGGAGCCTCAAAACATTCCCAAAGCAGGGACTCCCCTCTCCTTTCCACCACGAGAGGTGGGAAAATCAAAGAGATTCAGCCAGCTGAGCAGTTAGTCAAGAATCAGGCCCCATGGGCCCAGAGTCCCTATGGGTCAGCTACAGTTTTTCACTGGTGTGTGCCCCGTACATGTACAGGTTAGAACATGGATGTGCAATGAGGTCTTTGCAGAGAAACGTGCATACCTTGTGTGTGTGACATGTACACACATTACACGGGTGTTTGTATTTTCCCAGTGGCTAGCGTTCAGACCTGGCCCAGGTACCCGGAATAGATGGACATTTTCCGCCAAGGTGGGCGGTGTCTTTCAGAGACTGTCTCTTCTTCTTCAAGTCGACCCTGGAGCTCTTTGTACACCCTCACAATGACTGCAGCAGACAGCCCGGCACTATCCCTAGGGACCTGAGATGAGACCCCCGACCCTAGGCTGGGGAAAGTTGATGTAGGGAGGGGTGGGGTAGAGTCAGTCCCCAGGGCCGAGACAGTCAGAGGTAGTCATCAGACCCAGGCAAGGCCCAGGCTGCCTTCTCCTCCGTGGATGGGCAGCTCCAGGCGCCGGCCATTTGCAGACCTGGAGGAATGAGAGTGAGCCTCTGGGCCCGGCAGAGGAAATGGCGGCCCAGAGCGGAGAATCTAGGAAGGCGGGCCCGAGGGCGGGGAGCTGCCCGGAAGTCCTGCTACTGCCGCTGGTCAGCTGCTAGGGGCCTTCTTCCAAGGAGCCACCCACAGGGCCGGGCCTTCCCAGGCAGGTCTGTGTGTGTCTACACGCAGGCTAGGCTCAGGAGAGGGCTTGCCTGCCGGGAACACTGTACAACTGAAGGGTTGGACGAGGTGGGACAGAAACCCAGTGCACCTCCTACAGGCCTTGGAGCTTGAGTTTTAAAAAGAGGGTTATAGCACCAATCTCAGGCCCCGGGGGAAGCTCGTGTGAGTTCTTTGCTGGGACGCCCATGAGTTGTCTTTATGAACCTCATTGTGTCCTCGTAGGAAGATCTAGGAAGCCTGAATTTTTAAGTGAGGCACTTGTTCACTTCAGCCTCAATGTCCCCCCTCTCTAAACGAGAGGACATGGACAACACGGGTTCTTGTAAAATTAAATATCTGTGATGTGATGGACCAGATGCGGGGGTGCTGATGGGTAGCGATTGTGGGTGGACCACGGAAAAGTGTCCTTGGCATTGGGCTTTTTGACTCTAGGCTTCTGAACTTTGAGTTTGGGTAGGGGATGCAGGCTGGAGCTGGGGTGCTCAGGAGGTAGCCTGGCCACACTAGTATGTGTGGGAACCTCTGGCCCGGTTTCCTGGGCGCCCAGCCCTGCCCGGGATTCCTGGGGTGGGTGTGCCTATGCTTCTGGCTCAGGCGAGGGTAAAGGGATCCTGGGATCCTGCCTACTCTTGCCCTGCCAGGGCTCATGGATGAACCTTACCTGGGCCTAGACTTTCAAAGTCCCTGTTAGTAGCCTGTCCCATCTGCCAGGTGCTAGCACATGTGATCTTCTGATAAACCCCTTCAGAGTCCAACATGGCTGCTACCAGAGGTCTTAGTGTCAGGGAGACATACTCCATCCAGCCTGGGCCTTTTCTGTGAACATAGAGGGAGTCTCCCAATGCTAGTACACTGGCAGACTTGGCACCTGAGGGCTGGGGCATGGGGCTCTCAGGCCTGCATCCAGAGTACTCTAGCACCCTGGGTAAGCTGTGCCCCTGAGATGTGATCAGTCTTGAACAGGTGACCCTCTGGGCCATCCAGCTGAGGGGCCAATGCCAGGCACCTGAAAGTGGGCAGTCCCAAGGCCAAGCATGCAACTCAGACCTCAGCTACGTGCCAGGGTAGCAAAGGCATGGCTACTCTAGTCAGTGCCCAGCTGCCAAGGGAAGGGATAAGACCAGGTGGGCAGACCCAGGCAGAGACCTCCACACCTGAAAGACCCTGCCTTGGCCCGGGTGAGAGTGTGGCCACAGTAGACTCTCCCCAGAGAGCACCAGTGACGGGTGGATATCACAAACATGTCTTAGTCTGTGTAACTAGGAGAACTGATTTTGCAGAGCACCTACCAAGTGCTAGGCCCAGGGTGGGACTTCTCATGCATTTAAAAAAAAAAAAAAACCATGTCCATTAAAAAAAAAGTGTCCATTTTTAACTCCTATCTATCCAATTGGATTTCATCTCAACATCTGACCAGAGCCCATGCTGAACTAGTTAGAATGTAAAATAAACAGAACACGGTTCCTGCCTTAGTGGAACAAGTCCTAGTCTAAGGAGGGGTGGATGTCAACTGTTCTGTACAAGAAAATATAGGTGCAGAGAGCCTGAGGAACTTTCCCACAGTCACACAGCTTGGGTACCAGAACCCTAACCGAGGTCTTCCCCATGGCTGAACTGAACAACCTGGCATTGGACCCCTGTTTATTTTCTGCCTGTTGGAGGCTGACCTTGCCTGGTTCTCCTCAGACACCCGACACCAGTAAGCATCTTTCCTTTGGCCTGGAGTGCCGCTGTAGAAAGAAGTTGTCCTGGCCATGTAGGTTTGAGGGTGCTGCAGACCTCTCCCTGACAGAACTACCATTACCCCTACGCCGGAGTCTGCAGGTCTGAAAGGGTCTAGGACATTGCCCTAGTTCGTGGTCTCCATGCCTTCGCGGTCTGAGGTGCTGTGGACCACACTCGGGATGGCAGCGGGAGAGAAGGAAGGAACATGGTATCACCGTTGTTCCTCACGGCCCTGAGGCAGGGAGCTCCTTGGGACTGTGAGCCTGTGTCCCAGGTCATGGTGGGCTCATAAAAGGCCAGTTCTTTGTGGTGAATAGGGACTGTGCTCCACATAGGGAGCCAGGAAGCGTTCTAAGACTCCCAGCCAGCCATCAGCTGGTGTGGCCCGTGCTGGGGACTTGAGTCCCCAAGCCCACGGAGTCTCTTGCATATCAGACTTGCGCCGAGCTCCCTCCGTTCTTCAGGGCCACATGGCACAGGTTTTGGGCCCTGCAGCACACCAGGCCAAGTGTGCCTGTGCGAGGAGACCCACCAGCACCATCTAGAGTACAATAGAGAGGACCATGTGCTCTCTAGGGGTCTTGCCCTCCCCCCACCCCGTCCTAAAGTACCAGCAGGCCTGAGGCTCACAGAGCACCAATGTGGTTGGCATGGCAAATGCAGGTATCTTCAGGAGGGCCACGCTCTCACTAAGATGCCGTGGGCCCGGTCCCTTCTGAGGAGGCTCGGGTTATGGGCTTGGAGCACCTGAGGAATCCAGGAGACTTCCTGGAGGTGGTGGACCCACAGCCCCGGTCTTTTCCCTAAAGCTGACCGTCAGGGCTATGGCTGCAGGGCCCCGCGCCCAGCTCTACTCCTGCCACGTCCCAGGGCTCCCTGCCAGGCGCCACCGCCCCCCCTCAGCCCTGTACAGGCCACATCTGCTGCAGCAGCCACGCCAGAGCTCCACCTCCTATCCTGTCCCCATGGAAACCAAGGGGGGGGTTAGCCACTGACTGGTTTCCATTAGAGCAGCCTGCTTTTCTGGAGCCCTGCCCCTGAGCTTCAAGGCCTCCCCAGAGACTTCTTCCTGCATTTGCTGAGCACCACTCAGTCTGTGCCAGGGAGCCCAAGGGTCCCGGCCTTGCCCACGCAGGCTGGCTTACATCAGGGGAGTATCAGGTGGGTCCAGGGCCCTGCCAAACGCTGGGGATGCTTTGGGTCTTGGCAAGTTACGGTATCCGTACTTGGTCTTTCCTCACTGAAGACTGTCACTACAGAGATTTTTATGGCCCAGAGAACCTGTGTGCCTGAGTCAGTCGTGCCTGGATTCCAGAACTCCCACCCAGCCATAGAACCTAAAGGATCTCGGACCCTTTTTCTGTCTCCGGGCCTTGGTTTACCCATCCGCAATATGAGAGGGTCAACAGCTTTACCTGAGTCCCTTGTAGATGTACTTAAAAAGGAAGGAAAAGAGGGAGGGAGGGAGGGAAGGAGAGAGAGAAAGAAAAAGAGAAAGAAAGCGGATCCATGCCGGTGCTGGCTCCTCTAGGTTCTCAGGCCCGGGTTTTGTTTGCTTTCAGAAAGGGTTTTTAAGGCAGCTCGGTCATGGAATGTAACAGAGACGGTGGCTGGAGAGGCCACCATCCAGCTGGAGTCCTCAGCATCTGTTTGGCACCCAGTGACCTGGCTATGAACGCAGCGAAAGGAGGCTTCGGTCCTGCCAGAGGGTTCTTTCTGCAAACGACCGGAGAGGTTTCCGGAGATCAGAAACGTAGGCTGAAAATGAGATCCAGCTTGTAAAAACTCAGTGGGTTCATCCCTAGCAAGGTGGGGAGACCTGCAAAAGGGTTAACCCTGTAAAGCTCACCCAAGGGCCGTCCGTGTCTGTGGTAGCTCCACCTGGCTGGCCTCTATACTGGTGGCGTGGTCGCATGCTACCCTCCTTCATGGCATTGGGACGCTGCATTAGAAAGCATGGGCGTAGTTATTGGCACGGGCCCTGGGGGACTGCGGGGGCAGCCTCCACATGGGAAGATTGGCTCCTGGCTGCTTGTGAGGGCCCGTCTCGGGTGCTGGTACTGCAGAGGCTACCGAGTTTGTACCCGTGTTGGTC